AGCCTGTGTGGAGGTGGCTGTTGTGGAGTTGGTGATGCTGGCTCCCTCAGCAGTAACTGTCACCTGGGGGAGACCATTTCTTGTACTCTTTATTCGGACACACAAGGAGCTCTCCCCTGACCTGCACAGCAGCAGCAGTACACCACCACTCGGGGGGCTCAGTGGGGGTGAGCGTATCAGCAGCACAACTGATGCTCTTTTCTTTCTGATACTCCATAGGTGGTAGTAACCAACACAGTTCCTCACGAGGTCCAGAAGCTGCAGTGCCCCAAGATAAAGACTGTGGATGTCAGTTTGATTCTCTCTGAAGCCATCCGACGAATCCACAACGGCGAGTCCATGGCTTATCTCTTTCGCAACATCACTGTCGACGACTAGACCCGGTGCTGCCCGTGGCCTGGCTTCCACAAGAGAAGGAAACGTGTGAAAAGGCATCAGTTATAGGCAGAAGACAACTTTATTCCTGTAGGAGCATGAAGGGTTTCAGTCAGGGGCTGGAGCCATTGCATTTTGTGAGCTTTGGGTCATTCTTGTTCTGCAGGGGCAAAGCACATGGGGGTCTTGGTCCTTGCTTGAACACTTTGCACTGCAACTGCAGGCACTGTTCCTGGAGCTGCTTGGGGCTGCTGAGTTGTGGCAGAGTCTCGTGGGGATGGGGAGTGCAGCTCTGCTCTCCAAAACACTAACACTGACCCTGCTACCAAGCAGAGGATGTTCAGGTTTGGTGCCTCCTGTGCAGCCCATCCCCTCTGAACAGCCGCTATGCCTGGCCTGTGGGGCTGTTGCTGTAAGCAGGCTCACTTGGCAGCTTGCAGCCCCTTCCACAGGGAAGCAGGACTCACAGCTTGTTCCTTTCTTGTGTGACGCTAATCCTTGGCTGGAGGGACACTTGAGAAGGCAGCACAAGGGGCTTGTGAAGGGCTTTGTCTCCAGGATGACGGAAGAATAAATTCCCTAACTGTGATCTTCCCCTTGCTGAGGCAGACAAACACTCCAGTAAAATATGTACCGCTTCCCAGCCTGCTGAGGAACAAATCCCTTGCTTCCAGCATGCACTGCTGTCACTAACAGACCCTTCAACTTCTGCCCATATCCTTCTCTTCCCCTCCACCATCTAAATGTGTTCCAGGGGGCTGAGGGCCAGGTAGTGCCTGGGCAGGGCCAGCCTCAGCAGCAGTAAACAAGTATGCCCTGCACCAGAGTGGCCAGGCTCAGAGCTGGGGAGGGGACACGGGGGCTCGGAGCAGGTGGGTCATCTCCAGCAGGGCTGGGTGAGGGCTTAAGGCTGGGGCTGGGTTTCCTGTGTTTTCCAGGTGCTAGGAACAAGTCCCAGCTCTGCTCTGGGAGCACAGTGTGGCTCCTCAGCCTGTTCTGGGCACACAGTCTGGTGCTGGGAGGGTTATGGAATGGATCTGTTGGAGTGTGTGGAGTCCATGCAGATGTCTGCATGTAACCCCTTGCTCTGAGCTAGCACTGGACCATGCTTTACCTCCTGGTAAGGAGGCACTGCTATTCTCTCCCTGTTGCTTGTCACACCTGCCAGCAGCAACGTCAGGGCTTGTTGCCTGTTCTTACCCCATTATGGGCTTGCTTTGGGTAGAGAGCATGGAAGCCGCAGCCCCAAGTGAGCAAAGGGTTGAGCCGTGCCCTGTGGGTTGTAGTCAGCACCAAAGCCTGAGCTGTGCTCAGTGTTCCTGAAGGGAACACTAGACACCAGAGGCAGTTGGCTGGCGTGAAGCCAGGAGCTGTCTCCAGATCCCTGCCTGCTTTAGGAAAGCTGGTACCCCAAGGTCAGGGGGAGATGGTGGCTTGGGGCTGGAATGGACACAGCATCTGCCTGGCCCGATGGAGCCAGGGCCTTGGCTGCCATGGAACCTCAGCCCAGGCTCCTTCCCACCGTGCCGCTTTAGGGCTGTGAGCTGCCCCGGGGGTGTCTGCGGAGCTCCGGAGCCGGGAGCTCCGTGCCCGGGTGTCCCCATCCCTTCACCCCCCGGCGCACGGGAGCGGGGCCGGGACAGGAGTTGCGGGACCGGAGGAGGCCGCGGGACGCCAGGGGGGCTCCGCAGCCCCGCCCCCTGCCGGGGGGCTCTGCCAATCGGCGTCGAGGAGCGGCGGGCGGTGGCCAATAAGGAGCAGGCGGGGCAGCGCTCGCCACACCCCGGGGAGCAGAGGGCCGGGGCCGGGGCCGGGGCCGGGCTCCCGTTCTCCGCTCAGCCCGGGTCCCCTCCTGTCGTGGGCCGCAGCAGCGCTGGACCCTGGGCTCCTGCTTGTGACCTCCCCAGCGCTGTGCGGCCGCCTGGGGCCCTGCGCCAGGGGAGTGCGGCCGCCCCGGGCTGGGAGCAGCCGGCAGGGGGACACGGACGGGGCAGGGGCCGCTGCCAGGCACGGAGCCGCCGCAGGCACCGGCTCCTGGGTTGACTCCGTGGGTGCTGACGCGGGGCCGCTGGAGAAGGAGGCAGCGAACGAGAGCAGCATCTCCAAGGCAGCGGCTCTCCCAGTTCCCTTCCCCAGGGCCGCGCTGCCTTTAGAACAAGGTCTGGTTGAAGCCCGAGGAGCCGGCGGTCCGTGGGGCTTCGCTGCCGCTGGGGAAGGGATGGAGTTCTGGGGGGGAAGAGTCGGGGCTGAACCGCTGCTGTGGGTCCTCCCCGTGCTGACAGGGGTTGTCACGCTGTGAGCTGTGGGTCCAAGGGAGCCAGTGCCCTCAGCTCTGCCGGCTGGAGGCTCCACAGCCCTGGAGCTCCGGCCCCACCACATCCATCCTTCCCTTCCCCACTCCTGACCTGCAGCTGGGAACTGCGTCTGTTCCTTGGGCAGCAGAGAGGCTCCATCAGCACCTCATGGGCCTCATCTCCCACCCCAAGTCCCCTTGGCTCGTCCAAGGGCTAAACCCAGCAGTGGTGGGGACCAAGAGGGACCTCATCCTGCACGGCACTGAGTGGTGCGGGAACATGCTCTTCCTGGTGTCTCCCGGGGCAGGGACCGCAGGGACCCTCCCTGGGGCTCACCCCTGCCAGCCTCCTCTCTACCAGCATCTTCCCAAGGAGACCACTCAGGTGAAGGAGGAACAGTCCTGCATGAAAGAGGAAACCTGGATGAGCCAGGAGGCGCTAGGCTTGGGAACTGCTGCTGGTAAGCCTGGGAGGGAGCTTGGCCTTTGTCCCCTGCGTCACCCAGCAAAGGAGGACAAGGAAGAGGTGGGAGAAAACCAAGAGGATGAGGAGATGAGGATGAGGAGAATGCCAGTCCACCCCTGCTGACACCCCAGAACCCCGGTGGCCCAGCAGCCACGCCGCAGTGGTGATGCTCAGCCCATGTGGGGGGACTCTGGCTCAGGACCTGCCCCTCACGCACAGGAAGGGGTCAGCAGCACCCCTCGGCCCACAGCCACGTGTCACTGGGGCAGCTGAAAACAGCCCCTGGTGCCCCCCCCCAGACTGTGCTGCCCCAGGCACCCCCCACCCTGCATGAGCCCCATGTGGGAGCCCACGGCCCCACCGTGGGGCTGAGCAGCAGCACCTGGCTCCTGCCAAAGGCCAATCCCAGCCCAAGGCAATGATGCTGCAAGGGGGGAGCAGCACCCGGCTGCTTTCCTGCTCCCTTCCTGGGGCCCCCCTTCATCACCCTCATGCCCCTCGCAGCGCTGCCGCCATGGCTGGGAAGGCGGCACCGACCCGGCTGCTTTCCCGTCTGGAGCCCAGCACCAGAACCTGCCCCGGCCGCGGGGAACGCTCCCCTCCTTCCCCTAAAGCGAGCTGGAACCTGCTTTGGGAGTGCCCCCGGTGCCACCTGCACTGGGATAACCGGGAGCCAGCCAAGGCCCCTCCTCACCCATGGGTGGGCTCAGGTGTCGATGGGCTTAACCCACCCCCAGCACTGACTGCCCTGCAGGACAGGGCCCAGCGGGGGGGGCACCAGCCACACGCTCCCCCCGGGTGCTGCCTGTGTCCCTCCGTGGTGAGCAGTCCCAGCTGGGAGCTTTCCCCTTTCCTCCCTGTTTCCTGTTGTGCTGTGCCAGGTCTGTCCTGCCCCGGGGCTCTCCTGGTGTCCTGGGGGCTGCTCTGCTGCTGCCCTTGAGCCCCCCGGCCCTTGCTGGCATCTCTGGAGCTGCTGCATTCCCATTTAGGAAGATTCTGGCCCCAGTGGGTAGTGGCGTGAGCCGGTGTGGCAGTGGGAGCTGGGGGTTTATTCCATGGGATGGAGCTGGGCTATGGAGGCACCAACTCAGGGACTGGGTGCGCCGTTAGTGTCATTTGATGACACTGATGTCATTGGAGCACTGTGTGCAGTTCTGGTGTCCTCAACATGAGAAGGACATGGAGCTGTTGGAGCAAGTCCAGAGGAGGCCACAAGGATGATCAGGGGCTGGAGCACCTCCTGTATGGAGACAGGGTGAGAAAGTTGGGGCTGTTGAGCCTGGAGAAGAGAAGCTGTGTGGAGAGCTTAGAGCAGCTTCCAGGGTCTGAAGGGAGCTACAGGGATGGTGGGGAGGGACTCTTCATCAGGGACTGTAGTGATGGGACAAGGCGTGATGGGTTCAGACTGCAGGGGGTTGGAACTGGATGAGCTTTAAGGTCCCTTCCAACACAAACCAGGCTGGGATTTGAAGGCTGGAGGTACAGGTCGTGGCTTGGGAGGTCAGGGCCCAGGGCTGAGCCGCCCCAGGGCTCTGCCCATCCCATGGTGGGCACTGGGGGCTGCTGACCCAGGTGCAGTGGGGGACAACCTGAAGGCATCACCTGGCCTTGAGCACAGCAGTGCCAGGTACCCCAGGGCGCCGAGGCACGGGTGGGTGACGGGCTTTAGGGGCTGCTGCAAGGCACAGGATGGGGTCCCCACCTTAACACCCCCATGCCTGCAGGCTCTCCCCTTCCCTCTGCTCCCCCTGCCTCAGGGTGCAGCCTCCCAGGGGCTATGGCAGCTCCTGTGGGCCCCCCGCCATGACCCCCTTTCCCAGTGCCCTGCTGGGACGTGCTCCCAGCAGAGAGACCAGGCTGGACACCTGCTGTTAAAAATGGGATGTCTTCTTTTTGCCTTTTTTTTTATTATTTTTCAGTTAATAGAAAACTTCACCCTGGCCTTGCCTTTTTTCTTTTTTTTTTTTTTTGTGTCTTTTCTCTGTATTTTTTTTAAGCAAGATTGATTTGAAAACTAAAAACCTCCCCTACTGCCCCCTCCCTGGGCAAGGGTCACGAACAGCACCCGCAGGGACCTCACCTTGATACACACACCCCCCCCCCCAGGCCCTGAGGGGGGGTCAGGGGGGTCTGTGCAAGAAGCCAGGCTGGATTTGGGAAGCCAGAGGAGGGGCGCATTTGCTGTGGGTGCTGCAAGAAGCACCCAGGGAGTCCAGAGCTAGGGGGGGGGGGGCAATGGCTCCGTGCCCCCATGGCAACCTCCATCCCTTGATCTTGTGTTTTGATTCCCCCCCCCTGCTTTTCCCTCTCCTGCCCTGCTGCAGGGATGCTGGGGGAAGCCAGAGGGCCCCCCCCCCACGCACACCCAGCAGTTGCCTCCTTCTCTCTGGATTTATATACATTAGATATATTTATATATTATAGCTATAGATTTAAAAAAGAAAGGGGGGGTGTAAAGGCCCAGCCGGTGCCTCCTGCAGGGGCTCTCGTGCCCCCCCCCCAAAATAATAATAAATCCTAGAAAACGCTTCCAGTGCGCTGCTCAGGGAGCCCCCGCTCCCAACGCCCTGGCCCGGACCCCCCCCACCCCTCCTTCATCCCCCCACTCCCAATGTCCCCCCCCTCCACCATCCCAGTCTTATCTCTGGCCGTCCATGGTGGCCACGGCTTTCTGTGGGGGGGCAGCAGGAGGGGGCGCGGGGGGCCAGGCGGGCTGCCCGTGGTGGAGGTGGTGGTGCAGGCCATGGGCGGTGGGTGAGGAGGGGGGCAGCCAGGCCGGCTGGTGGCTGGGGGGCGAGGAGGCCCAGAAGGGGCTGAAGCTGCCCGGGGGGGAGCAGGCCATGGAGGTGATGGGGCTGTTGCTGCTCTGCAGGCTCTCGGAGGTCCGCAGCTTGGAGAACATGGCCAGAGCGTCCGGGAAGTTGGGTGGCGTGGCTGGGGTGTTGCTGGGGGTGCACATCTGTGGGGCAGAGGAAAGGGGGGGTCAGAGCAGTCTGGTTTGGGAGCCCAACCCCATCCATGGGGACCCCAACCCCATCCATGGGGACCCATCCCACACCCGGCACCCCACAGCCCCTAGGGATGCTCGGAGTCTGCCTCTGGCTTAGTTTGGGGTACCCAAGGGTCTGGTGGCTCCCTTAAAAGGGGGGGGGAGAACTGCCTGGGGAGGGCCAGCAGCCCAGGCTGGGAAGGACATTCTGGAGCATCCTGGATGCTCGAAGCCCTGCAGTGAGGCAGGTCTGGGGAGGAAGCCACTGCTCTGGTGCCAGCTGCTCCCCCAGAGAGAAGCAGTGGGGATGGGGCTGATGCAATGGGGTTTAGGAGGCCCTCAACTCCCCTTCATACCCCACTGCAGCAGAGAGGGTGAAGGGCAGGCATCCCCCCGCCCCAGATGGGGAACCAATTCAGCAAAGCACTCTTGAATATAGGGGTGTTATATATATATGTAGAAATGTGTGTGTATGTATATATATACATACATGTCCCTCCTCATCCCATCCATGGGATGAGGGGTCCCTGGGATCAAAGGATCAGCCAGGAGTCCTGCAGGTGTCCCCCACTCTGCCCACAACCCACCAAGTTAAGAACTGCCATGAAGTCATTGCCTTCCTCCTCCAGTGCTTTAAGGTGGGGTTGGACACAGGGGCTTGGAGCAAGCTGCTCTAGTGGAAGGTGTCCCTGCCCGTGGCAGGGGTTGGAGCTGGAGGAGCTTTAAGGTCCCTTCACCCCAGTCTATGGCTCTATAAAGGAGCTGCTTGGCTGGTGAAGGATCAGTCCCTGCCCCACAGCTGGATCCTGTGGGGTGCTGGGGGTGACGGTGACATCCCCCCCTCCACCAGAGCACTGCTCTGTCCTCTGCTGCTGGGAAAAGAGATGGGAACTGCACCCATGGAGCCCCTCACGTACCCTGAGCTGTGCAGGGGGGGGGGTGAAACAGCCAAACACCACCCCCAGCTGCAGGGGGGTGTTGGGGAGAAGGTGAAAGGTGCTTTGTGGGGATGGGGCGAGCTGTCCCCTGTGCCAGGCTGGGAGGCAATGGGGCACCCGCTGTGCTCCATGGGTCCCGCTCGGCCCCGGGATGGGTTTCGGCAGAGCTGGTTTAGAGCCCGCTTCCGGCAGCGCCCGCCGGGAACCGTGGTGTGAAAACACAGGGGAGGGCTGTGGAACGCCGGTTCTGCATGGGCTGAGCCCCTGCAGGCTGCCCAGAGCAGCAGGAGCGCGCAGGGATGGGAACAGAAGGGGTTTAGGCAGGAGCCGGGCCCTGAAACGGCTTTGTCCAAGGGACAGAGCCGGCGGTGCCGGCTGCTGCTTCCCTCATGGAAAGAGAAAAGGGGTGCGGGGGGGGGGGGGTTGAAATCGGCTTAGGCCGGATCCGCTCCTGCAGGAACCGCCGAGTTCCTGCAACAGGAAAAAGGCATCGGGAAACCCAAAGCAAACCCAACGCAAACCGCCCGGAGGGGCCCAGCTCCCTGCCCCGGCCGGGGGCCGTGCCCTCGGCCAAGGTCAAGCGGTGCTCGGGGACAAGGAGGGGGGGGGGCAACAGCGGGGCCGCCCCCCGGCTCCCAGGGCTCTGAGGTCCCCGCTCCGTGGCGATGCTCGCAGGACAGGCTGCTTCCCGGCAGACATCTTAGCTCGTGTTTACATCCGCCGCGCTCCGGGCCCCAGCAATATGGCTGGCAGGGGAGCCCGGAGCCCCGCGCACCCCGGGGGGGGGGTCCTGGGGTGAGGGGTGGGAAGGGGGTTTTGGGGGGGGGGGTGTTGGACGCTGTTAGAGCGGGTTTGGGTCGGGAGGGGATGGGGTGCGGGCCCCACTCACCATCTGCGGGGGGTGGTGGCTGCTGGGGATGTTGGTCTCCTGGAAGAAGGCGCTCAGGGCTGTCTGTGGGGACAACGCTGTCAGCTCCAGCACCCGGATAGCGGGGGCACACGGCACCGTGCCCCA